CCCAAAACCTCACTCAGCCCAGGAACAGTACCCAGGAGCAGAGTGGGATGAGCAGAGGGTGGAGGAAACCTCTGGAGCCTTGCTAGGAAGGGGAGCCAGGATGTGGGGAGCTGGCAGACCTCCTGGCACACCTCTGCTGGCTCCGTCTTGGGTTCAGCCACTTCTGGGGCTTCCTCTGTGTCACTTGTGCACCTCCATCACACCCACAAGAGAACCAGAGGGTGGCAAGAGAAGGCTGAGAGCATCCCCAGCCCCAGGATCCTGTTCTGTGGTAGAACAGAGGCCTCCAGCTCCTGCCCTGTGCCCTGGTCTGTTTAAATCACCCATTTTTAACTACCCTTTAAACCAACAAAGGAAAACGTTCCCTCCCTTCTCCTCCAGCACTTGCAGAGTGGCTGTGAGGCCGTTTCCCAAGGCAGGCAGCTAATGAGGATCAGCCCCAGACAGGTTGTTCTGAAGTGAAGTTTCTGCACGCTGAATTTGGCATTTCTTTGTGTTCCAGCAGAAACTACAGACACCTCTAAGTGCTCAGAGAGTCAACACGCTTCCAGATACTCACATTGATTACACTGTATTAGAAAATGGTAAATTATTTATCAGGCTTTCTGACTTGTGATTAGTGTAAAGCTGTTCCTGGATGCAAATTGGAATTGTTAATTAGACATGTAGAAACCCTGCGTCTGAAACCTGTTTTTATTGAAGCAGTGTAAGGTAGTTTTTTTCCTTTTGTATCCAGCATAATTATCAAAGAACACTTTGCAGATAAAAAACCCCATCAATTTCTTAAAACCAGAGACAGTTTTACATCTGATCAGGGAACAAAAGCTGGTCATCAGGATTTTAGAGCTGGTATATCTCAACTTCTCACACTTGACTTTCGATGCCTGCACTGGAAGGGGAAGGCAAATGCTCCCCTCACCTTGGTCCATTTATTCTCAGCTTTGAATGAAGCAATTCTTGACCAGAGCTACATATAAAAAAAACCCCAGACCAACAGAACAAGGATAAAATGTCTTTGTCAGGTGCAGAAGAGACCACAGGCTCAGACTGCAGACACTGACCTGCTCGCTGCCTTCAGTCCTGGGGGACAGCTCATTAAAATTTCAGAAGTAAAAACAACATTTACATTTAAGCTTATTACACAAATGTAAATGCTTTTAGGGTTTTGTAGTTTGCCAACAACCATTTGTGGTCAGCTTTTAAGGAGGTGGTTTGGTTGTTTGCTTTTATTTTCTCTACTTAAAACCAAAGCAAACCCAATCTGTGCCTGCTGCATCACCACCCCCTCGCCCCCAGCTCCCCCTGCCCTGGCTATGGCACAGACCCAACACCAGGCAGGGTCAAGGTTTAAGATCAAAGCATGAGAGATCCCAAAACAGCTACTGCAAGCAGAAGTGTGAAGTGCTACAGGTGGCAGCTGCTGTTTGAACCAGATCTGGAGCATGTGAACATAAAGATCCTGGTTATGGGATCCTGGTATCAGCCCAGGC